AAATGGTTCTTGTCCTTTCATAGAAAAGAGTTTTAATTGTCGAGGTAATGGAAGATTAGACGAAAACTTCATGAAGTGGAGGTGGCAACCAGAAGATTGTGACATTCCAAGGTACCTAATTAGTTCCTTCTTTAAGCTTGGTATTTAATTTGTCTCAACACAATTAACGTAAGTAGTTAGATTGCAATCTAACAATATACTTTCGGCGTGCTAATGCTATATCTAAAGGTTCGATGCAACAAAAATGCTGGAATTGATGAGAGGGAAAAGGCTAGTTTTTGTGGGAGATTCACTCAATAGGAATCAATGGGAATCCATGGTGTGCATGCTAATGGGAGCTAAAAAAGGGCGCAGAATCACCCAAGGAAAGGGCAAGTATAATTACAACTTTGTGGTAATGAATCTTCGTACTTGTTATCTATTGTCCTTTCATATCCAGTAAATTATGTCGTACTATTTAAACTTATTCTGAAGTGTTTTCTTTTTGTTTCACAGGACTACAAGTGTACAGTTGAATTTTATACGTCCCCTTTCTTGGTTTATCAAGGTATGGCACGAGCAGGGAAGAAGCAGGTGAAAACCTTGCAAATTGATTCCATGGATCGCGCTTCTTCTAAATGGACAGGAGCTGATATTTTGGTATTCAACACAGCACATTGGTGGAACGATCACAAGACGAATGCTGGGTCAGTTTGTTTCATTATTATAATGAACTACTATTAATGAGCTCAATTTTCAGGACCTAGAATGACAGCACGACAGCATGTTCCATCACAGAATATACATACATATAAGTGATATATATAGCTAATAGTGAATTCAAATTTCTTGAATCGGAATATATCCTGACCTGACATTTGGAGTTTATAACTGCAGGATTAATTTCTTCCAGGAAAGCGGCCAAATTCATCCACATCTTGATGTTTCCACAGCTCTCAGAAAAGCTTTGATGACCTGGGCATCATGGGTCGATAATCACGTCAATCCACGCAAAACCCAAGTTTTCTTTCGAAGTTCATCGCCGACGCATTTCAGGTTAATTTGCCTCCCTCCTGGATGTGTTCTTATGCTAACTGCATGTGTAATGTTGATCAACTAGTGCGTGCATATCATTTGCTCAGTAAGTGGTTTGTTGGTTGTAATTCTTCATTCAACTGAACAGGGGAGGCCAATGGAATACAGGCGGGAGTTGTGAGGAAGCCAATGAACCCCTCATCCAACTTTCAGGAATTCCAGAGGAAAAAGATATAATTGCAGAGGAGGTGATAAAGCAGATGAAAACGCCTGTGACTTTGTTGAACATAACAAGCTTGTCAGAATATAGAATAGATGGCCATCCATCTATATACGGGAATCAACGCTCGGGCGTACAAGATTGCAGTCATTGGTGTCTCATTTGCAGTAACTGACACAGTGAACAGCTTTCTGTTCGTCGAATGCTTTCAATGATTTTCACCTCATTTTAAAATAAATATTTTGAGGGCGCAGAGCTGGAACATCCTGTATGCCTCGTTTTAATTTGTTGAACCTCAAGTTTACTTGCAGCATTTATCTGGGGAGGTTTCTGCCATGAACTCAAAATTACTTTACATCTGTAGGATTTTCATGGACCTACAACTCACAGAGGTCCATTCCTTGAAAACTTTTGTAAGTAAAATAGACACACACTTAATGAATATATATATATATATATATATATCTCAAATTACTAGTGTCCAACAATTCTTTGCATTTAGCAAGCCTTCCATGAAATAAGTTATAGTATCAAGATAAATAAAGCAATTCCGACCTTTTTATTATATATCAATAAAAAAGGTTGTGCAAATTCCCATTATTACCATCATGACATGCCTCTAACTACAGAATTGTCGAACCCAACCTATAATATCTAACTGCTAGAAGAATTTCTAGCTTATTATTGCCTATAAATTCTATAAATTAACCTCATTGCCAATACAACCTTATTGTTCAATTTTTCTAAAGTCAAGAAGCAAGCTTTGACATCAGCATCTAGCCAATTTCACTTGTAAGGGAGCTGGCTGGCATACCTACCTAGATGCTTTCTTCTTGAGGACGATTCACATCCCACCTGTTGTGGATAAAATCTCCAGAGTTGAGATATGCACCATAGTTGATACTCGTATGCATCCCAATCCATGCCAATTTTCCGTTCAGTGAGATTGGTGTTTCTTCGCTCTGCCTTGAGAGACAGATGAATCATCCCTCTTAGAACCCTCAGGTTTTTGAGCCCATGGAGGTGCTTGATCTGGTCCGTAACGATAATCATAGAAGATCTCCTCACCAGAATCAATATGCTCCTTGGCAAATATGCCTACTCGATGATCTCCGGCAACCAACATAACCTATGCAGGCCACCATATTAGCAAAACCAATAATAACTAATCAAACAGGGGAATCACTGAAGCTTTATTACCTTCGCATAGCAGTTAGGGTTCGATGAGTGGTTTGCAAATTTAAGCTTGTCTCCTTTTCGGTAAGCATCTAGGACATACTGTAATTAAACATGTGACTACCTTGAGATCTCATGCCTTAAATTAGTTCAATTGAATCGTATAGAAAACAATAGCTAAGATGTGTTTAAGGTGTAAACCGGGCGGCCGAAGCCTTATGTAAAGAGAGAGAGAAAGGAGGTGGCTAGGGTTTGAGAGGAATTTTCTGCAGAGTTTCAGTAGAGATTTCAAACGTACCTCAACCCTTGTGTGTGGCTATCCTTTTATAGTGGTCTTGGAGGCTAGGGTTTCAGAGGAATAATTCCGTAGATGGAAGGGAATTATTCCTCCCCTATTTGGAATTGATTTGATTAATTAGGGTAAATCAAATCCCATAGGTATCAAATCAAATCCTAATTTAATTAGGTAACTACTCATTTAATTGGGAATTGTGGTAGGAATCAAATCAATTTTCAACCTAATTAGGTAACGTTCCATTTAATTGGGTAATCCCCAATTAAATTGAGTAACTCCTAATTAGGTTGAATAATTCCCAATTAGGTCAAATAATCCCCTAATGAAAGGAATCATTTGACCTAAGGTATGATTTAATTCGGTTCCCACAATACCCACAGTATTTTTCACAGCAGGTTCCACTATGCTGACAAACAAAAGAGAAAAGGGTACGATCCATACAGCTGAGCTGAGTAAGATTCATATTATTCCCAACACAAACTGAGCAAGTTTGATAGATGCTATCCTGCCAGTGCCATGCCCTCTTGATCATAACCATTCTACTCTATCAGATATTTTGATATGATTTTGCCATGTCTGATGTCTCCAGGAATTTTCCTGTGAGGCAAAATCAAGAGGCTTCAAAACATTGATTTTGAAGAGAAGGACCTTATATATTAATTAATTAATTACCAAAACTTGTAATTTCTAATAACCAGTTCAAGCTAGCTAAGATGCACACCACTTAGCTTTGCCTTCTGAGAAGCATTTTGTCGAACATCCTTCCCCTCCTCGCCAGAAAATGAGGATTTGAATGTCATTGTGATGCCTGAATTCCAAGTTCTTTGTTTGTGGTTAATTAATAAGTGGTTACTATTCAATCTGCATGGAAATTGGAACGAATGGTCTTCCTTTCATTCCCTGACGTTAAGTGAAAGGGCAAAAGAAGCCAATTCATGCACATGCCAAAATTGTCATGCCCGCAGCAACACACGCACCTCATCCGCTTCCTACAACGCTATCTAAACCAACCCATGTAACATTCACCATTCTCAACTAAGCCTTGAGCTTCCAACAATGATGTAAAATAATGAAAGACAAATAGATGGTTTTTATTTTATGAACAACCCACCACACACATTCCCAATTAGCAAAGCAACTGCTCTGCCTTAGCAAATTAGTCAGTACTTACTGCCTACTCACTTTTTCTGCAAGTTTGCTGTACAAGCCAAGCCAAGCCTTGCTACTTGTTCTGGACTCTCTCAGTCCAAGTGAGAAACTGATCACAAATTATGAAGAGGCAGCCGAGTCTCTTCTTTAAATTACCCACTAGATCCTTGGTATTCTATTTTAGCCTGTCTTCCTCTATCATCTTTCTCACTTTCATAATCATTTGGGTCAACAAAACCACTCCTCCTAATTCAGTGGTGCAGGCCCAAGAAATAGGCAGCTGTCTACAGTTCAACACATCCTCACTCGTTTCGGGTTTCAGACCACCCATAGGCGCTGTGCCTGTTCACACTAATTTGACTGGTAATTTCAATACAAACATTTCAGTTACAGTACATGGCCCGGAAGAATTGGTCTCCAGTAAGCCTGATGAAAATACTTCTGGCTTTTCTGGGATGAATTCACTTGTTAGTAGTGGGTTACAGACGAAGGAGAACCAATCCCAAGTGCCACGACATGATGAAGAAGACAGAGGCGGTGGTGAGTTGGACGGTAACTTCACAGCAGCGGCACAAAGTACACCTGCAATGTTATTTGACAAGATTGAGATGAAGAGTGAAGAGCAAAATACTCTTTGGAACAAGACTGAAGACAAAAATACTCCATTGAACAAGACTGAAGAGCAAAATGCTGCTTCTGGCTTTTCTGGGGTTAATTCACTTATTAGTGGGTTACAGGAGAAGGAGAACCAATCCCAACTGGCACAACGTGATGAAGAAGACAGGGTTGAGTTAAACTTCACAGCGGTGGCACGTCAAAGTGCACCTGCAATCTTATTTGACAAGATTGAGCACAGCACCGAAGAGCAAAATGCTCCATTGATGAACAAGAGTGAAGAGCAAACTGCTCAATCGATGACCAAGACTGAAGAGAAAAATGCTCCATCGATGAATATGACTGAAGAGCAAAATGCTTCATTGATGAACAAGACTGAAGAGCAAAGTGCTCAATTGATGACCAAGACTGAAGAGCAAAATGTTCCATTGAGGAATACGACTGAAGAGGAAAATGCTCCATTGTTGAATACGGTTGTTGAGCAATATGCTCCACTGATGAACAAGACTGAAGAGCAAACTGCTCCATTAACGAACAAGACAGAAGTGCAAGATGCTCCACTGATGAACATGACTGAAGAGCAAAATGCTGCTTCTGGCTTTTCTGGGATTAATTCACTTGTTAGGAAGGAGAACGAGTCCCAGGTGGCAGAAGTGGCACAAAGTGCACCTGCGGTCTCATTTGACAAGATTGAAATTAAGACTGAAGAACAAAAGGCTCCAGTACCACTGATGAACAAGACTGAAGGGCAAAATGATGCATCGAGTAAAAGGATTGAAGTCATAAGTAGAAGGAGGAGAAGAAAGAACAAGAAAAACAGAGGAACTTCATTTGATCCAAATACTCAGGTTTCAAGTAGCGAAGTCCCCAAGAACAACAGAACGACTTCATTTGATCAAAAGACTCAAGTTTCAAGTAGCGAGATGGTGCAGGCTGAAGACAAGAAAATAATAATAAAAGGAGGATGTGATTTTAGTACAAGAGGGAGGTGGGTGTATGATAAGAGCTATCCCTTGTACACAAATCGTTCATGTCCTTTCATATTTGAAGGTTTTGACTGTCAAGGAAATGGGAGATCAGATAAAGACTACATGAGTTGGAGGTGGCAACCACAAGATTGTGACATTCCAAGGTACTTACTTCCTTGTTCAAAATTTTTAATCACAGTACTGTATCTCTGGCCTGCTATATATAACATTTTATCTATATGATAGGTTCAATGCAACAAAAATGCTGGAACTGTTGAGAGGGAAAAGGCTACTTTATGTGGGCGATTCCATCAATAGGAATCAATTTGGATCCATGGTGTGCATGTTAGTGGGAGATATAAAAGATCCAAATAGGCCCAGAATCAAACATGAGAAGGGGATGTATAGTTTCAGCTTTGTGGTAATAAATAATGAATCTTCATAGTTCTTCTCTTCGCTTCGTTCGCTATTGATGTAGTTTCACATTTCGGGTCTTCTCTTCATAATCTGTGATGTGGTTGATCATTGTTTTCCACAGGATTACAAGTGTAAAGTTGAATTTTCCCCGTCCGTTTTCTTGGTTGATAAAAGCATGAAAAGAGTAGGGAAGAAGCAGGTCCCAACCCTGCGAATTGATTCCATTGATCACAGATCATATCATTGGAGAGGAGCTGATATTGTGATATTCGACACTGAACATTGGTGGACCGATCAAAAAACTAATGCTGGGTCAGTCAAAACCATCATTATTGAGTATTATAGTGAACTACACTAAGGATAAGCTTTATTAACATATAGCTTGGCTAGCCTATAGCTTAGCTAGGCTATAGTAATTAAGAAGTAGTAGCTAGCTAGCAGCCTACCAATAATACCGTGCTTATTGTTGTGAGATTGAAATCAATATGCAGGGTTAATTTCTACCAGGAAGGGGACCAAATTCATCCATATCTTGATGTTTATACAGCCCTCAGAAAAGGTATGAAGACCTGGGCATCATGGGTTGATAACCACACCGATCCACGCAAAACCCAAGTTTTCTTTCGAACTTCATCGCCAACACATTTCAGGTTGTTATTATGTGCCTCCAGAATGTGTTGTCATATGCAGCATTTCAGGTTTGTTTTGTTTTCGGGTAACTAATCTTTGATTATATTGAACAGTGGAGGTGAATGGAAATCACGCCGGAGTTGTATAGGAGCTACTGAACCCCTCATCCGAGATTCAGGAATTGCAAACGAGAAAGATAGAATTGCAGTGGAGGTTATAAAGCAGATGAAAACTCGCGTGACTTTGTTGAACATAACAAGCATGTCAGAGTATAGAATAGATGCTCATCCATCAGGCATTCTAGATTGTAGTCATTGGTGTCTTCCTGGTCTTCCTGATATCTGGAATGAATTGTTGTATCATCATTTGCTCACTAACTGACCAACCAAGACACAAATTCTTTTCCCAACCGATTTATGTGTATCGAACTCTTTCCATCATTTTATTATTTTCATTAGTAAGTTTTACGGAATTTGTTTACAGGCACCAAACTCTCTCTGTCTCTCTGTCTCTCTCTCTCTCTAAACGCTAGCTAATGTATCCTGAAAACAAAACAAAACAAAACAAAAGGCTAGCTAGGTAGACTACAAAATAGGGATAATGCTCCTTTCGCTCACTACACCATGAGGCATTGGACCACATCACATCCATGATGCATATGTTTTAGTGCAAAAAGAATATTACTCTCCTGACATGCTCTCTTCATCATAACCATTCCCATCGAATATTTTGAGGGTATCGTATCACTTGCAATTTACTACAACTACCACAGCAAGGTGAAATCAGAAGAGGGATCAAAGGGTTTGCAAAGGAAGGAGAATCTGATTATTATGGACACACGTCATTCATTTGGATGGAATCTGTTCTTGTTTTTTCTTAATAATTGTGATGGCATACCATTGAATTCCAATTTGTTTGTGGTTAACTAAAATGTGGTTGCCATTCAATCTGCATGGAACAAATGGTCCAAACCAAAGCATGCAGGGTGGTCTTCCGTCCAAAATAGAATATCAACAGTTTGTGAAATTAAAGGCAAAAGAAGCCAATTCATGCACATGCGCGCCACAACACTAGAATGCATGCAGCAACACACGCACCTCATCCGCTATTACCACATCTAAACCGACCGACCCAAGTAACATTCACCATTCTTCACCACCTCAACTAGTTCAGGCTTCAACATCATCATCATCAGTTGAGGAAGATGGTTTTTTTATGAAGGACCGACATTCAACAACAATGCTCTGCTTTAGCTAATTAGCAAATTAGCAGCACTGTCTACTTATATACACATATATCAAATACTACTAAATATTACCGAGCTCTCTATTTGACTCTTTTTCAGGAAGAGTATCCTATGTCACTCTTTTAGTCTAACAACTGAGAAACTGAGTTATGAAGAGGCAGAGAAGTTTCTCTTTTAAACCCACTAGATCCTTAGTAATTTACTTCACCATCTCTTCCTCTATCACTTTTCTCATTTCCATTATCATTTGGGTCAACAAAACCAATACTCCTTCAGTCCCCCAAGAAACAGCTGTTCAGACTTTGACTAGTAATTGTAATCCAAATATTTCAGTACTAAATGGTCTGGAAGATTCAATCTTGAAGTTGAATGCTACACCCTCCATTCAACCTGATGAAAATGCTTCTGGCTTTTCTGGGATTAATTCAATTATTAGTAGTGGGTTACAGACGAAGGAGAACCAATCCCAAGTGGCGCAACATGATGAAGAAGACAGGGGTGGCGATGAGTTAGATAATGCTAACTTCACAGCAGTGGCACAAAGTGCACCTGCTGCAATCTTATTTGGGCCAGAAGAGCAAAATGCCCCATTGATGAACATGACTGAAGAGCAAAATGCTGCTTCTGGCTTTTCTGGGGTTAATTCACTTATTAGTGGATTACAGGGGAAGGAGAACGAATCCCAAGTGGCACAAAATGGTTTACATCATGAAGAAGAAGACAGAGTCAGCGGTGAGTTAGATAGGAACTTCACAGATACTGCACAGAGTGCACCTGCAATCTTATTTGACAAGACTGAGGTCAAGACTGAAGAGCAAAATGCACCATTGATGAACAAGACTAAAGAGAAAAATGCTACTTCTGACCTTTCTGGGATAAATTCACTTACTAGTAGATTACAGAGGTTGGAGAACGAATCCCAAGTGGCACAGAATGGTTTACATCATGATGAAGAAGACAGAGTTGGCGGTGAGTTAGATGGTAACTTCACAACAGTGGCACAAAGTGCACCCCCTGCAATCTTATTTGACAAGATTGAGATGAGGACCGAAGAGCAAAATGCTCCATTGATGAACAAGACTGAAGAGCAAAATGCTGCTTCTGGCTTTTCTGAGATTAATTCGCTTGTTTCTGGATTACGGAAGAAGGAGAATGAATCCCAAGTGGCACAAGATGATTTACATCATGATGAAGAAGACAGAGGCATCGGTGAGTTAGATGGTAACTTCACAGCAGTAGCACAACGTGCACCTGCAATCTTATTTGACAAGATTGAGATAAAGACTGAAGAGCAAAATGCTCCATTTTTGAACAAGGCCGAAGAGCAAAATGCTGCGTTGAGTAAAAACATTGAAGGGAAAAGTAGAAAGAGGAGGGGAAGGAAGAAGAAGACCAGAGCAACTTCATTTGAAAATACTCAAACTTCAAGTAGCAGGTTTGTTGAAGAAAAGAGAATAATAAAAGGAGGATGTGATTTTACAAGAGGGAGGTGGGTCTATGATAAGAGCTATCCGTTGTACACAAATGGTTCTTGTCCTTTCATAGAAAAGAGTTTTAATTGTCTAGGTAATGGAAGATTAGACGAAAACTTCATGAAGTGGAGGTGGCAACCAGAAGATTGTGACATTCCAAGGTACCTAATTAGTTCCTTCTTTAAGCTTGGTATTTAATTTGTCTCAACACAATTAATGTACGTAGTTAGATTGCAATCTAACGATATACTTCTGTCGTGCTAATGCTATACATAAAGGTTCGATGCAACAAAAATGCTGGAATTGATGAGAGGGAAAAGGCTAGTTTTTGTGGGAGATTCACTCAATAGGAATCAATGGGAATCCATGGTGTGCATGCTAATGGGAGCTAAAAGAGGGCGCAGAATCACCCAAGGGAAGGGCAAGTATAATTACAACTTCATGGTAATGAATCTTCGTACTTGTTATCTATTGTCCTTTCATATCCAGTAAATTATGTCGTACTATTTAAACTTATTCTGAAGTGTTTTCTTTTGTTTCACAGGACTACAAGTGTACAGTTGAATTTTATACGTCCCCTTTCTTGGTTTATCAAGGTATGGCACGAGCAGGGAAGAAGCAGGTGAAAACCTTGCAAATTGATTCCATGGATCGCACTTCTTCTAAATGGACAGGAGCTGATATTTTGGTATTCAACACAGCACATTGGTGGAACGATCACAAGACGAATGCTGGGTCAGTTGGTTCTATTATTATAATGAACTACTATTAATGAGCTCAATTTTCAGG